TTGCTGCCTATGCTTTTGAAGGTACTGCTGTGTATGCCTTTTGAAGGTCAGGGAAATAATACACATTTATGAACCGAAAGAGGGACTCTGCTGACCAAACTGAAAGGCATATTATTATCTTCCCTTGAATGCTGGAACTGAGCTTCCTTTTCAGATGCTGCCAATCAGTTTTGTGATTAGTCTCCATCTGAAATCCCTATTTAGCCCAGCCACATGATATGACTTCACCCTGTCTTAACAGCTCTACTTGGCCAAAAGGAGAAAGCCCTCTTTCAGGTTCTGGTCCTTCTCTTACGCCGTTTCTGGAAGGCAAAAGGCTTTCTGACAGGTGCGCAGCTTGAATGAGTTCATTGGAATGTCAGAGGAACATCAGAGCTGGTGCAAAAGAGGATGAAAGTAGTGTTGCCGAAAGCCAAGGGGGCTGAGCAGGAAGTGATCTAGAACACAATCTAGATAAATGGAGTGATCTAGTGTGTGATCCAGACCCACAGAGTGCAATCTAGAATGCGATCTAGACCCAACAAGAGATCTACAACACAATTTAGAACACAATCTGGAACCAATAAGTGATCCAGAACACAGTATAGAACAACAATGTGATCTAGAACCACCTCCCTGCCAAAAACCCAGCTCTGGAGTTCAGTCTTGCTCTAACTGCATCAACACCACCCCAGCTCTACAAATACCTGACTGTAAAGGACTCACTGCCTGTCCAAGGCCCTGATGGGGGAAGGCCTTGGGCTGTCTCAAACATCGTGGTTGCAAAAAGGCAACAGGCAATAATCTGGTTCCTCGCTGAAAAGAAGAAGCAAAGAGCATCAAAGGCTTTACTCCCCTCACTAACCAAGGACAAATTTCTGCTTAACAAGGTCATCATCCCCAGCTCCAAGGGGCCAGCAAGGTGTTCAAGAAACACGTAGATGTGGTGTTTAGGGACATGGTTTAGCGGGTTAGGTGGTTTTGGGTTGACGGTTGGACTTGATGATTGAGATCTTTTCCAACCTTTGTGATTCTGTGATTAAATTAATTCAAGCCATAGTGTGTAACTTCACCTCAGGTTTTCTCTCTGAATCATGAAGGGAAACCACTTGCGATTGCATAATCACGAGTTTTTCTTTTGAGTCAGTTCCATATGCCATGATCTGTGCTCTCTGCTGTTGGTCAGTGATGAGCAGATGACTTCAGCTGATGCAGGTGCTGTTGCAGTAGTCAGGAGGTGTCATGGCTCTGCACCGGTGTCACCTTATGTGTGAACATGAAGTGCTGTCCCTGCCACGCAGAAGCTGCTGTAAGGCATCCTCTCATAAAACACCTGCATTTTAAATTGCATAGTTTGAGAATATTTGTTCCCTTTACAGTGGAAGTGAAATAAAGTGAAGGTCTGAATTAACTGTAAATTAGAGAAAAAAACCCAATCAGATGTGTGTTTTCCCTTTTCTCTAAGAAGTTAAGAGTGGTTTGTCCCTGCCTGACCATTTGTATTCGTTACAGTTGCTGGAAAATAAATTTGTTCTTACTCTGTAAGAATATTCTAGTGTATATTCTGGTACGATTCTGTAAGGCACAGTTACTTTAAAAAGTCAGACTGTGTGCATGCTCAGGAGTTTGAAATATCCAGCTGAGTTTGTGATTGAAAGAGCATAAGTATCTGAATGCCTTGCATTTCCCCTGAAAATTCACTTACCCCTCCAACTTCCAGTATGTTCCTGTTGCTGTTTAAGTGTTGTACTCTGCCGTATGTTTAAGTGACAACTTGAGTCAGATTTTCATTCAAGTTGGAGTTTAAAAATGGTTTGTTAGTGTTAGGTTGGAAGAGCTAATGACAACGAGGATATCCTTTGCATACATTTACTTCTTTGTGGTTTTTATAGACCATAATACCTAGTAGAGCACTGTAGACCATTTAACTGTTAAAAAATGAGGGCATAATTTTCTGCTAATTAATCTAGGATTTACCCACTGTTTTGTATTTTTTAGAAGCCTTGTTTTGCTGAGTAGTTACTCCAGATTTTTTTTTTTTCGTTTATGGAAGAAATTAACTCAGTTGCAGCCTCATTTTCTAGACAAACACTGACCAGTAAAGCTTTGAAAGTATGTGGTGTGCTGTTGTTCCACGGTTGAGTGCAAATGCCTCTCTTGGAGAAGTATTTGAGGTACCCAGTGAAAGCGGCACAGTGTAACTGGGAAAGACCTCGGCCTGCCTCCAAGTTTTCTTTGTTTTGTGAGAATTTGAGTGCTCAGAAGGTGACGTAGGTGAGCTTGGTACAGATGTTTCGCCTTAAATTTTAGATTTGATTTAGTGTTTTTTTTTTTTGTGAGTATAATTATAGCTTCAAGGGGTTCTTTGCTTCCTCTCTTAATATTAAAGATACCCTGGACTTCATTTCCATATTTTGGAGGGATGGAGTAGTGGTGCAAATTTAATTGGTTTAATTTTGGTAACAACTCTTGCAGTTCTTTTCAAAAACAAAAAGGTGGGGAGTGAGTGGTTTTGTTTTGAATGGTCAAATTCTCTGAGGGCTGAAAGTTACAATTCTGGTTTCCAGCTGTTAGTTCAGGACTCCAGTTCTTATCTATGAGAGCGGCAGATCTGGGTCTCTTTTATGTTCTTTTGAAGGAGATTTTTCTTTATGATTAATTGAAGGAGGAACAGGATTTGAAGTTCTTAATACGATACATATATTTTAATTAAACTCTAATTTAAACCTTGACTTCCAACTCATTTGAGTGCTGTAACTCATTTTTACTAGGATTTAGGAGTGTGTAATACCTGTTTTGGTGAAAGATTGCTGTAGTTGGAGAACTTATGTTCTTTGTGTCTGAATAGTTAGAGATTACTGTAAATTTTATTTTAAGGAACACCTTTATGTTTGACCTCATCCTTCAGGTGTGCCTCAGATGTCCCCTTTCCTTTGATATTTATTTTCTGTCTTTGTATTGCTAGTTTTACGCTGTTCTGTGGTTAACATCTTCACTTACCGTTTTATTTATATAGATTTAGTTTATGTATGTTTAGCTACTGCTAAGCAAACGAAATGATTTTATGTGGTTATTTTTTTTTTGGTCTGCAGAGTTTTAAAGAGCTCTTAAATCTTGAGTGGAATTTCAAGTTGTTTAATAGAAAGAAACGACACCACATGCTTAAAATAGTAAAGAAAACAGTAACATAAGTTCTGAACTTGTCTAAAACCAACCAAACAAAAAGCCCTGTGTTGTTGGTATTCATTGATGTTAAATGCAGCAATGTGCCTATTTGGGAGGAACATACACCTCCTTGGATTGTTTTATTTTTCTTTGTGGTTCTGTTGATATACAAAGAGTAGTCTGTTTGCAGACAGCCAAGCTTAGGTGCACAAGCTTTGCTTCTTGACTCTACACTCATGGCAGGTGAGGACAGGGTCATCGCGGAATGTGGGAAGACAACTCGCTTTATTGGTGGCTTTTCGTTAACAAATTAAATTGAGGCAGGAGGGGACAGCATGGGAAGTCTAAGTTTCTTTGGGATACTATGGTGAAACAACTGTGTTGAGACCAGCTGAAGGCAGTGGAGGAAGTATGTTTAAATATATTGGTTGAAGTGATCTTCAGGGCTAGTATTGAACTAATTTTTGTACTGCTTGTGTTAGTCTGTATCACTGAAACTGATTAAGTTAGGAAATGGAAAAAAAAAAAAAAGTGTGGTGGTATGGTAAATCAGACCAAACTTAAACTGATGAGAGCATCAACATGCAAAGCTGAATTTCTTTAACTACAGAAGGGATGCTGTTCTGTACAATTTTTGTAGATCAAGCCTTGGTCACTTGAAAAAAACCCAACTAAATTATATTTAACTGTTGCTTCATTTCAAGTGGTGTGTGCTTTTAAGGTGTGACCATCAAATTAAAGATGAAGAAAACAGACAAATGAAAATGTTTTACAAAAAATAAATATACCTTTACATGTCTAGATCAATAGTGATTAATATTTGATAATGTAATGTGAGGAAACAGGAGCAACGCTGTTTCACAGACTGTGAAACTCATTACTCCAAGGTGTTTTGTATATTGGAAATATAAGTTGTTAAAAAAAGTATTTGACCGAAATAATGTTGGGTGTATGCCTGTATGGTGAGTGCTACAGGAAGAGTATAGGAAACAGGCTTCACATGTTAGGTGTGCTGTTGGCAATTTAAAGGTTTTCTGTTCGGCATCCAGCCTGTCGTGTTTAACAAGTGGTGCAGGTGTAGGGTACTGCTCAGGAAAACTTTGAATTGCTAACTGTTGCTTGGGTAGACTGCGTGAGGGACTATGCTATACTTGCCATATTATCTTTCTGTCATTCTTTTCTAAACATCTTCCACTGTGAGTAGACAAAATATTGGCACAGAGGCACTTTTGTTACTTCACAGTGACTGCTACAATATAGTCTAATGAAAACTAAGTTTACAACTAAAGAATTTTATCAAGGATTAGGCTTTCCAGCTGATACTGTGCAAGGCAAAGGCATCTGTTTTAAAGACATTGAGATTTGAACAGATGAGTCAAATGGGGGAGTGGGATATACTGTTCAGATCAAGAAAGTACAGTGTAGCTTGTTAATACTATGCTAAATGCTGTACTTAATTTACTTTTTCAGCATGACTTCATGTCTAATGTACTCTTTGTCTTCTTGTATGCATACAGGGACTCCTTTTCATAACATTCTTTTCTGATCTACCCTCCATCAGAAAATGGAATGGGTCAGCTTCGTCTGTGATGCTTTGCTTCTGACTGAGACAGGGTTTCCACATTATCTGTGGAAGACTACCTCCAATTGAACTTGTTCCTCTACTGAAAAAAATCCCTTTAGGCAGAATTTCTGTCTGTACTGCAAATCCTCCATAGTTACGAATGAGCTTCACAATTTCTTTTTGTCTGGGATTTTTGTGCTCTTTTCCTTACATGGCAGTGTAAGAAACAAAATTCTTGATTTATTTACTAGTAGCTGTTTCTTTCTTTTTTTTTTTTTTTTTTTTTTTTCAGATACTATGATCAGCTGTGTTCAATTGAACCAAAGTTTCCATTCTCTGAAAATCAGGTAAGAATACTTATCAAACCATTAAACTGAATCATGACACCTGTGATGTATGACTTCTGAGCCTGTACCTAACCCACTAAATGGTACTTCTCTCGGGCAAGGCATTTAATCTCTTTGAGCCTTATTTTCCTAATCTGTATTTATTTTCTAGTCAGTGCTCACATATAGTCTATATAACCTTCACCTCTAGTGGCCATAATTGCCTTCGTTTTGCCTTTGGCTAGTGGTCACTGTGGTCTGGGTCAGAAAGAGTTGTGCTGTGCTGATTCCTCTCAACTCTCCTTTTTCCAAGATGTGTATTTCATGCTATGTTATAAAGACTTTTTCAAATGTAATTTCTGTGGCAGAACCTTTAGTAAGGGATGGAATATGATCTTTGGTTTTTGAAGTAAAACAGATGTTTCATTCACAACAGCTGACAGAACAAGCCCACTTAGAGTTTACCACTTTATTCCTGCTTCTGCAAATTACATAGTTTTCATATAGACATAGTGTTCATTAAGTTTTTTTTTTTCCTACCGTATTTCTTTAGAATCCTTTCTCTAAGGAGAAAATCAGCGTAACCCCTCTGTATAGAAGTCTTCCTCAGGTAGAGACTAAAATAGATCTTTAGGCTTCTGTATTTGGTGGAAAAAGACACAGGTTTTCTTTGGATGCGTTTACAATTAGGACAGAATTTCTGTGCCTTTCCTGATTAAGTCCTATTTAAATGGTGATGTTATGATTAAAAGAAAAGGTTTCTTTCAGACTTACAAATTACAAGTAAGGGAATAGTTTTGTTGCCGTTTGAACTGACTTGAGTTTTGCATGTAGCTTCATTCACTTGTAGCCAAGAATTGCACTTTGGTTTTTAGTGAGCAAGTGTTTTGATATGGTGATCTGCAAACCCTGAAACATGGAAAACTGGAAGACTTTAGGAGCAAGTTCTGCAGATCTCTAGATTGTTCCATCAAAGGGAAGTAGTTGTCAGTGGAAGCAGCAGTGAACAGCTGGGGACCAGAACTTGCTGAACTAGCATTGCTGCTAGAGGAGAACACGTTATTAAACAGTACTGTGTTCTTTCTTAAGTTATTCTCCACAACCACTTTAAAACGAGGATTTTTGCTTTTTTTTCTGGTCTGATACCAGTTGCCTACAACTAGTTTGATCAGCTGAATAAGGAATCAAACTGTGGAACTTCAAAGCAGATTCTGTGAAGTATTTGTGTTGTCTGTGAAATATATGGTGGAAGTGTAATATAAAACACACCATTTTTACCTGCATTCTCTTTTCTGAGGGCATTTCCTGATAATGCTGCTATTCAGTTTAGTCATAAAAATGACTACATTTTGGTATTGCAAACCAGTTCCAAATATCCTAGTGGAAACTGCATGGCTGGGCGGTTTCTTTGAACTTGACTACCTGCCTGTCAGCCTTCTTGGGAGAGGAATATCTTGGTTTGGAAATAAATTTGTCTCTCACTCAGAATATGAACAGAGATGAAAGATTATTTTTTTTAGAATTTGTGTCTTGTCTGCTTTAAGTGTTTTGAGCGAACTAAGAGGAAGGCAAAAAGGTAGAATACAGGTTTTTTTAAATAACTCTTAATGATTTCCTGAAACTACCAGAATGTGTAATGTTACAAGTGAATTAAATGTTCTATGCAATTAGAATATAAAAGGAAAAATATGTGAATTTGGGCTATTTTCTGAAGATTTCATACTGAATTTCAGAGATAAAGATCTTTCTTTTTCACAACTTTCAGGTCTGTGTAACATTTACATGGAAAGATGCTTTTGATAAAGGATCACTTTTTGGAGGATCTGCCAAACTGGGTATGTGAATGTACCAAAAGTACAAGTATTAATGATATTAAATTTTGAGAATATTTTTATACAGCAGAATTGTTATTAGTCTTCCTAGTATTCTCAACATAGCTTTCAAATGAGTTAAACTATATTGGTAACAGATTAATCACTTCAGCATTGGTAATGAATAAATGGGAACCATGCAAAGAATTTCTATAAAATTGAGATTTTATTAGTTTTCCAGAGGCACAAATAGATGTGCAGTCTGAAAACAGTTGTGCTGACTGCTCTTCAAACTTTCTCTGGGGTGCTGTGTTTTTTCTCAGAGTTTGGTTGGTTCTGTGTTCTTTGGGGCTAGCATGTCATGACAGAATCATAGAATCATAGAATGGTTAGGGCTGGAAAGGACCTCAAAGATCATTGTGTTCCAACTGACACCTCCCACTAGCCCAGGTTGCTCAAAGCCTCATCCAGCCTGGCCTTGAACACCTCCAGGGATGGGGCATCCACAGCTTCCCTGGGCAACCTGGGCCACTGCCTCACCACCCTCACAGGAAAAATTTCTTCCTAATGTCTAGTCTAAATTTACCCTCTTTCAGCTTATACCCGTTACCCCTTGTCCTCCTCTCACTACACTCCCTGATAAAGAGTGCCTCCCCATCTCTCCTGTAGCCCCCTGCAGGTACTGGAAGGCTGCTATTAAGTCCCCTCAGAGCCTTCTCTTCTCCAGGCTGAACAACCCCAACTCTTTCAGCCTGTCCTTGTAGGGGAGGTGCTCCAGCCCTCTGACCAATTTTGTGGCTCTCCTCTGGACTCTCTCCAACAGGTCCAGGTCTTTTTTATGTTGGGGGCCCCACATCTGAACACAGTACTCAAGGTGATTGGACCTGTTTCATAGTGAAGTTCAGAATATTCTAATTATGATTTAAACATAGTCTGTGAATCGCTAGAAATTTAAACTAATTCTGAGAAAAAGACTTAGTAATCATAATGTTGATGATTACCCTGAGAATTTGAATAAATGTGATGTTACGGCATCTTGAGAAAGCTTGCTTGTCTGCAGGTTAATTACATACTAGTCTAATGTGAGGCAGATGGCCAGAGATTTATGCAACAGTCCATATGAAATATCAAAGAAATTCTTAACTGAGATGTGAGTAATGCTCAGTTAACAAGTGATGGAATAAGTTTTATTTTGAAACTTTGAAGCAGATCTTAGTAGAAAAAAATTACCAAGGAGTCCTTTAGTATGTATCTTTACGGTGTTGTATCCCAGATTATCCAGATGCTGCTCTCAGGTTAGCTACAGCACGTGTGTATCTCTTTATTTCAGGTCAGTTTCTCAGTGTAAAGCAAAGTTTTCAGTTACTGAGGGTGCAAAATTTCTCTTGACTTATGAGAGGAGAGGCAATCCTGTCTCCAAATGGAAATTTGATGTAAAACTCCTTTGACTTCCATGAGGCTGAGACGCAGGAGTGTAACTTGAGAGTTCTGGCTCTTGCTGTGGTGACAAACTGTTTTCTTCCCATCTTCCCCTGAATCCCAAGTCTGTATCACAGGGGTAGCTGACAGATACTGTGGCTGCTTGAAAAGTGACTCAGTTCCCAGCATGGCATGTAATCTGAAATATGTTGGTTTAAGTTAATAGGTAGAGCTGTAAACAGATGAGTCTGAGGAAAATCTATATTGCTAAACAGCTGTTCGTGCTGTAGTAAATCACGCTTGAGATGCAGTCCAAAGTATAAAGTAATTCTGCATAGAAATTAATTTTGCACTTCTGAAACTTTAAAGCCGTGTTTTCTTTCCTTTCTTGTGTTTTAGTCTTTTGAATGATCGTAAGTTGTACAAGATCTCCTCTTAGAAAAATTCTGGAAAATAAACTACAGAAGAGAGATGATCTAGATAGATTACTGTTAACCTTGGTGAAATACAGTGACCGAGTAACTCGCTTTTCACTCAGGGAAACAAAATGGGTAAAATGGCATGTCAGATTTGTCTGCTTGTCTGAAAATTTAGTGCAGATCAGGGAGTGCTAACATAGAAACTTCAGACCTATGTCAGATAAATATGTAGCTGCACAAGGAGGCTGGATGTTAGTGAAATGAAACAAATGTGCCTCTTTACTACCTTCTTGTTTTAAGGATAACTTAGAAGTTTTACCTGGGTTTGTGAAACTGAAAATTCACTGGTTGAGTTTTCTGTATTCTCCAACAGAAGTGTCTAGACACTTTAACAGCAGTAGGAAACTAATACTTAGAGTCTTTAGATTTTTTACAGCACTTGTGTATGGCCAATAACTCTTTAAAAGCAATTAATAGATTCAAAATGGTTCCTGTTCAGGTATTAACTGTTTCTAGAAGTGTGGGCTCCATCCTCTGGGACTATGAAGTACTACAGGAGTTGAGTCTCGACAGGCCACTCTGCTGTCTAGTGAGCACAAGTTATAATTAAGTAAATCGTTAGCTGTTTCAGTACATATATAACAGAGCTATTAGTCAGCATTTTCAGCTGAAACAAGACCTTTGAGAGGTGAAAAAGCTTTCTTTGCATTTCAATAGATAATAAGACAGAGCATGCAAAAATCTTTGGCCTCAGTGAGGAAAGGGTAGTTAATCTTGCATTTAAAATACAGTTAGGACATGTAATTGGGCGGTTATTGTGAAGTGATTAGTGCCTGGAAGTTGATATTTCAGATTATCCTTCAGTAATGTGTGTGTTTCTGTATCTTCAGCTGCACTCTAGTTTGAAAGACTTTCAAATTACTTTGTGTGTTGAGTAGATTTTCATACTACTGCTTTTATGCTTTATGCCACACCATAGTTCCTCATGTCAAAACATTCAGTGGAAGTACTGAATTAGACCATGTAAAGCCTTCAGAATGAAGATTGCTTCCACTTTAGGAGTTCCTTTTTTTTTTTTTTTTTTCTTGAAACTATTGAGAACTTTAAGTACAGATATTAGTAGTGTACGATGCAAGAGTAGTAAAGTTTATTTTCTTAAAGGTATGGCTAACTGTCTTGATTGCAGCTTTGGCAAGTTTGGGCTATGAGAAGACCTGTGTTTTGTTCAACTGTGGAGCATTGGCAAGCCAGATTGCAGCAGAACAGAATCTGGATAACGATGAAGGTCTAAAAGCTGCAGCTAAGCACTATCAGGTACAGAGACTCCTTGCTTATGCTTAGGAATTCAGAATAATTAATTTTGTAACATCAAATATGTATCTCTCAATTTTAAAGCTATATATACAAATGCATAAATATATATACATATTTCCCCTCTCTTAATTGCAAAGGTGGATTGGCTAAGTACCTGGTCTTGGTTTATGTTTATTTACCAGCTTTGAAGGTTTTAATTCCGTGCAGTTCCCTGTACCCATTCCCTCAAGCATGTTGGTAACTAATAATCTTCATTTTAAGATTTAATAGTTTTAGCTAGTATGACTTTAAGAAGTAATAATATCTGTCTTTCTTTCTTTCTCTTTCTTTCTTTCATGTGTTAAAATTTCCCTGATCTAATGCTGTTAGGTTTAGCCAATATACCTTTACTTAGTCTGTCTTGATAAATGTCTCAGCATAAGTGACTTCAAGAACAGGAAGTCACAAGGAATTGCTTCTAGTGGCTAAACAATAAGTGTGAGACCATATACCAACAAAGCTCTATTGTTTTTTTTAAGTTGCTGTATGTGTTATATTTGTAGGAGGAAAAAAATCTGTTGGAAACATGAATGATAATATGTTATTTTTGTTTTGCTTAGTTTGCAAGTGGTGCTTTCCAACACATTAAAGACACTGTTTTGTCAGCCTTGAGTCGAGAACCTACAGTGGACATCTCTCCAGACACAGTTGGAACTCTTAGTCTTATTATGTTGGCCCAAGCCCAAGAAGTCTTTTTTTTGAAAGCTACAAGAGGTATATCTTAATTTTTGACTTGTGTATTTATGTGCTCATTGTAACTTGACAAAAACTTAGTGTTTTAATTTATTAAGAGCTTATAAAGACCTTTCAGAAGTTTTTATTTTTGTCTTTGTTGATTTCTACCCACCTCCCCTTGCAGGTCATTAAACACAAACTACAGGTGCCACTTAAGATTTTTATCCAAGGTTTACCTGACAACGCAGTTTTCTCATTTGCATTTTCTTTCTATTATGTCCAAAGCCATTAGTCTTCATCTATATAAAGAAATTTGTTGGTTTATGTGTTTCCTTTTCCCTCTTGAGAACAAAAGACCTTCTCTGAAAGAACTGAGAGTACTAGAAATGGTGCATTGTTTTTTTTTACCACTACTCCCCTCCTTCTCGCTCTGGGGAATGATTTCATGAGAATTTGGAAAGAAATGACTGTGCTAGGAAACAAAGGAAATTAACTAAGAGTTGAGAGGAACCAAAAATTCTGTTTGATTGCTCCTAATTTTAACAGAAGAACTCTTTGATCAGGTCTGTCTTTGAGAATGCCTGGTTTATCTCAGAAAGTGAAATTCTGCAGGTGGAACAAAAAATTACGTCCCTAACTGTTAAAGGCTGATTGTGAAATACTGATTCAGAGGCTGCGTATTTTAATACAACTATTAAAGTATGTATGCTTCAAAGATTTTTTTCCTGTGGAACAGTACTATCTTTGGTACAAGATCTCTTACTTTTTGCTATTTTGCTCTTCTCTCTTATTTACAAGAAGTTGTGCATCTAGAAATTACAGATATCTAAAAGTAGAACTGAGGACATAGAGGTCACATGTGATTGCCCACCAACTGCTCTCTCTCCCCATGTTGTTTGGAATACAGTGGAGGAAGACAGGGCTAATCTTAACAGGGATGTTTCTTCTCTTCACAGGGAAGATCCCTGAAAATTCTTGTAGTCTTGTTGCCTTTAGGAGAATCTCCACAAGAAACTATTGTCCTTCAGCCAACTGATAAATTATGTTTATGTTCTTTATCATGCTGGTAACAGCATTTTTTTCTCTAGCTGTTTGGACATTGCTTCAAAATACATTTGTATCACAAATGCCTGAAACTTTTCTTCAGAGCAGGACCAGGCACTTGCCTCTTCTCTAAAGTAACAAGTGATAGGACAAGAGGAAATGGCCTCAAGTTGCGCCAGGGGAGGTTTAGGCTGGATATTAGAAAAAAATTCTTCACTGAAAGAGTGATCAGGCATTGGAACAGGCTGCCCAGGGAGGTGGTGGAGTCACCATCCCTGGAGGTGTTCAAGAACCTTAATGATTCTACCTCATTGTGCATGAGAAATGGATCTTCCTGTCACCTTCCTGATTTCTTCTTATTTTTAATGTGAAAAAGACAAGGTGAGGCTGATCCAAAACCCACATGTGACCAGTGAATTGAATATTTTTGTGACTACACCCAAGACCAGAAGTGTGCCAGCACTAGGACAGTAGGGTTCATCATCATCTCACTATGGAGGCTGTAGATTTTGCCAGACATAGGGGTTCTTTTCCCTGTCAAGAAAGACATTTGGGGGAGAAATATGTTTGACAACACGACTAACTTCAGAAACCTATTTTTCAAGTGGAAATGCTTCAAAGTTTGATCTCAAAACTCAAATTTAGCTTCTTCCTGCATTTGACTGTTTACCTTACTTGCAATTTTCTGTTTTTTCTCTCATGTAAGACAGTCCATTTAGCAGCTTACCAGCTGATAATGATATTTCTGGAACTGAGTTTATTCACAAGTTGAAGGCGGAAGTGTTTGACAAAACCCAGAGTGGTCAGTCAAATCTAACTCCACTGCGTAACTGCAGATCAATTCTTAAATTTCTGATCCTTTCTTAATATTTTAAGTTTATTTTAGTCTGCATGTATTCTCTATTCCATCTCAAGGCTTGCATTGTAGCTGCAATATTTTAAAGATATGTGAGTAAAAAATAAGGCTTTTGATGGTTAAAGATCTATTCCGAGCCGTCTGCGTGGACAAATGAGTCTCCTCTATAATTTCATTTGTTAATGGAAATGTATTTTTAAATTTTTTCTTCTTAGAGCTCAACCTCTGTGAAGAAGATGCAACTAACCCTCACTAGGTGGAGCTAGAAGGACAGTCTGTTAATATTTTATTTGTTTTGGTTTTATTAAATATTTAGTGCACTAGACAAACATTCTAGCAAAGAAGTAAGTTGCTAGATCTCATAAGCTTCTTTCTCTCCATTTGTCTTCTAAATCCTGTTCCACAGTGAAAAGATCTTTCTGGCATACCTTAAATGGATTTACCTCATAGAAAGTAAACATATTACATCATAACTCATGCCTGAAGTGCTGTGGATAGATGTGTGAATATGCTGGAATGAGAATTCCAGCACTAGGGACTTCTTTGGATTTAATTTTGGCAATTAAGCATACTTTGCAGACTTCCTAACCTGTCCATATCCCCCACTCATGCTTTTCAATCTGGCAGTACATAAAAGTCACCTGAGTCAGAGGATACTTGTTTGTAAGGGTAACTGTTTAGAGTGGATAGCCAGTGCTTCACCAAGGGGAAGTCATGCTTGAC